GGGGGAGGGGGCTATGCTTTTCAAGAAACATTACTACAATTCTGGAGGGCAGCCAGTCTGAAAATTCAACAGATTAGCAAACTGCAAAAGGCGATCCCAATATGCTTTCCACAACTCATGGCTTGTGGAAGAGACTCTCCTTGAATGAGTTCTCTCACAGCATATATGCTGGACAGAACCCTCTGCAAACGTTCACTTGAGCCTTGAACCATAGCTCATTAAAATTTATTCAAAAACCAGGTTAATTCCGTTAATCATGGAAAATGCATCATCAGAGCTGCTATGCTACTCATACTTACTATTATGACCTCTTACTTCAAAACTGGGATTCTGTCCAAAATCTTTAGCAATCAAAAATCTGCTAACCGGGCTGTCCTGAGCAAATCAAATTTTATTTGCTATCCGGAACATAAAAATGGAGGATAAGTTCTGAAGACCTGGTTTCACTACCTCCGCTTCAGGAATATAGGGGTAAGTAAATGTAATATCAGAATTTGTTCTCTCTTCATAATATACCTTTTAGAAAAACTCATTCTAATATGAGGTTCTGTAGCCAGAAAGAGGCTTTTTTAAAACAAATATTATTTTCTACACACAACTGATATGGTCTAAAGGCTTCCTGTCTTGCAAGAGTTCCTCTCTTTCTTTTGGTTAAAAAAAATCTTCAGAAGAGAGATGAAATTCATAGATTCATAAAAATTTAAGGCCAGAAGGAACCATTAGATCATCTAATCTGACTTCCTACACATGACAGGTTCCTAAATTTCACTCAGTTACCGCCGCACTGTGCTTGATAACTTGTGTTTGACTAAAGTATATCTTCTAGAAGGCCTCAAGCCAGGATCTGAAGACATCAAAAGATAAGAATTTGACACTTTTCTTGCTAGTTTTTTATAGTAGTTAATCATACTCACTGTTAAATGTGTCCATTTCTATTTTAATTTTTCTGGCTTCAGCTTCTAACCACTGGTTCTTGTTATGCCTTTTTACTACTAGATTAGAGGCTGTTAGTGCCTGGTATTTTCTTCCCATGAAGGTACTTTTACACTGCCATCAATTCATCTCAATCTTTTTTGATAAACTAAGCAGATTGGAGCACTAAGTTTTTCACCACAGGATATTTCCCCTTTGCAATGTTGAATTTCATTTGAAAACCAGCTAAAAGAAAAGTCTCATTCACCGACATGCCAGGCTTGGTATATGCTTACCAATTACTAGTTTAAGAGAAGAGCCTGTTGCAGCAAATACAATGCTAGCCTACAGTTGATACAAACAGAAATAAGAATGCTAAATCTTGCAGAGAAACTATGACTCCACCTGCTATTGCTTCCAGAGTCAATGGGAGATATACCACCAATTTCAGCAAGACTGAGGTGAGGTACTACATATAATATGCACATTATTTGTGCGTATATGCTGTATGCATACATATTTCATATAATGGCAATAGGCAAAATACAAAAGGACTTGATAAAGTGCATTTAATATGCACCTTCTTTGAAGTGTAAACAATAGGGCTGTGCGAAACAGCTGTGTTTTGATTTGGGTTTGGCTGTTTCAGAGGACAGCGATTCATTTCGGTGTTTCGGTCACTGTCCTGTTTCATTTTGGCTGAATCTGTTTCAGAGATTCAGCTCTGCCGAATATCCTCTGAATCTGTTTTGAATAGGCTGCAAAGCAAGCTTCTCACAGCCTTACCCAGCTGGGCAGGGCTTGGGGCCCCAGAGGGGAGCAGGACAGGGCTGTGGATGGATTGTCTGGGGGAAGGGGAGGGCCACTGCCCTCTGTGCAGACAAGGAGACCCCCACACAGATCTTTGATCCCTGTCACGTTGGGTCATGGGGCAGAGAAGCAGTGCAGAGTAGCAGGCAAGCCTGCTGGTGCCTGCTGCATGACTCTCCTCCACAGGAAGCAGAGATCCATGCCACGGGTCTCCTTGCCACTGCTGCTGTCCCCGGCAACACGGAGCTGTGCTGGGAAGGCAGTGGCAGTGAGGAGACCCCAGCACAGATCTCAGCTCCCTGTGAAGCCAGGATACGCAGCAGGGACCAGCACTGCCCTGCCACCCGACCTGGCTCTGCAGGGAGCAGAGAGCTGTGCCGGGGTCTCCTTGCTGCCCACCCAGTGCAGTCCCTCATCTCTGCTCCCTACAGAGCCAGATCATGAGGCAGGTTATGTCCTGCCACCCAACCTGGCTCCACAAAGAGCAGAGATCCACGCCAGGGTCTCCTCGCTGCTGCTGCCTGCCCCGCACTGCATACAGCTGTTTCCCTGCAAGTCTGTCTCCGAAACTCTGAAATTTTCTGAAACATGTCAGATTTCATAGATTTCATAGACATTAGGGCTGGAAGGGACCTCAGAAGATCATCGAGTCCAGCCCCCCGCCCAAAGGGCAGGAAGTCAGCT